AATATTAAGACATTAGGGGACAATCGTAAAGTGTATAGCATTTTCTGATAGGACGATTACTTTTGCGCCACCTTGTATATTATTGATCAGCGTACAAATCTAAGACGATTTAGCCCTGTCCGTCAGTCAGTCTGTCCGTCTGTTGTAATCGCACTACAGTCAAAACAAATTAAGATAGGAAACTAAAATTTTGCACAGATCAGTCTTTTGTCTGCAGTCAGGTCAAGTTCGAAGATGGGCTACAACGGTCCACGATATCGTTTGGCCCCATATAACTTTACCCCCACAATCGGTATTTTTAAGTTTCTAGCGACATTTTTAATCGGAATTGTTTCAAATTTCATATTTGAAGTTCCTAGTAGGTACTACCATCTATGACTAGAATTACTCATACAGCCCCCATATAACGGTACCTCCCGATATACGGTATATTGATGATTTTGGCCACAATTGCTATGGAATTGTCTGAAAATCCACACAAGGAGTCCCTTCTAAATACTTTACACCCTGGAATACAACTGTCCATATAGGTCCAAAATATCGCCCGGCCGAACTTAACTGCGTTTTTACTTGTTCCTTTTTGACTCGGGAGCGGATTTTTGGTAAAAAGTTCTAGGTATGGCAAAGTAGTAGTAAGTTTTGAAATAGATGATAAAGACCACAATAACGTTAATCCATGCCCAGCGAACTAAACTGCCCTAGTTCGGTCTGACTTCGAATTGAAAGTTGGAAGAAACTTCCTATTTCGGATGCGAATTCGGTCCGACTGCTGACCGAAATTTATATAGAGTGGCTGACTTGCTGCCGGATAAAAGTCGGAAGTCGGATATCCATGGAAATTCGGAAGGGAAATAAAAGCTGTCGGATCGAACTCAGAAGTAATGGCGTGTGCATTTCTATTTTTTTTCGCAGACAACTGTATTTAAACACTTATTGTAAAACGATTTTTTTCCACGACGCTCAGGAGTTTTGGACGTCCGACATTTGGTTCGCTGGGTGATTGAATATGCTTTCACATTTTTGTTAAATATTTTTAGCATATTTGTAGGAGGACTAAAAATTTTGAAAATAGTCAAATTTAAAGTGCGATTTTTTTATCTATGACCTTTATGTCAACACTGTTTTAAAGAGCTCACACACTTTTCGTGCTTTGCTTCATTGTCAAACATCTTAAGTTTAGACTACAATTTAGCCCTGAATCCTTTTATAAACGGACAAAGCTTGCAAATGATTGAATATTATTATCTTCTTCCATTTTATGTTTAAGGTATTGATCGGACATATTTATCTACATTGCATAGAAAATTTGTAAAATTTAATACAGTTCTGTCATCTCAAGATAACTACAGAGTACAAGTCTTCTATATATACTTGATTGTCAATATTACTTTAAAACACCAAATAGTTCATGAATTTCTTTTAAGTACACCACATCGTACAAAAGTTCTCCCCCATTTCCAACATTGTAAAACGAGATAATTTCAAAAAAGGATTGGACAGCAAAAAAACAAAATTAACATTTTAAACGCCAAAACAAACACATACTGTTGACCTTGTCCTTTGCCATTTGGACTCGCTGTTTACATTCCTTGTTAAAATTAATTGATGCGTTATGTTTAATTAAATCCACAAAAAGTGTTACGCTCCACTGCCCTTCGTGGCCAAGAAAAACTCGACTACTTGCCAAGAAACTTAATGAAACAATGGAAAATAAATAAAAAAGGAGAAATAATAGGAGGAACTTCCCTAACAAGTGAAAATAAAAGTAATTCCCAGCGACAGGCGAGAAAAAGAAAGAAGAAGAACAAGAACAAGAGTACAATGGCCAAAACGGAAAGACGATATACGATGCTCCTAGCACTGCTACATGTCCGTGGACATGAAGTACAAACATCTTGTTCACTGACTCGTATTTTATTCCAACTGATTTTTGACTACAAGAACTGAGTTTCATTTCAATTTCTTTTCGTTTGTGCTTTGGCAAATGCGATTTGAAGGCATTACAAAGTACTTGCACCAGTAGCTTTGCCAGTGTACGCACACTAACAGCAAGTGGCACTTAGATAGAGTGGGGGTTAAATATATTGGGCGCCAATATCGATGGCCTTTATGCCATGGATTGAGAGAAGCAACGTGAATGACCCACCTACTTGAATAGGAATAATTCTTTAAGAGACTGCCTATAATAAAAGACTTGCTCAGACTTTTTTTCATACAGAGGATTTCGAAAACGTTATATATTTATAGACAACTCTTACATCAATACTTAAAAAAAAAATTAGGGATTCTATATGAAATATTTTTGAAAGATAAATTATGGGACGTGTATCTCGATTTTCGATTAATCAACTTTTGACATTGAAAACTCTATGAGACCAAAACACAGTCTTCGCTTTGCTTCATTTCTTTGCTTTGGAAGTACCAAAGCCACATTGGAATTCTGAGATTTGATTCTGTTTCGCACTTCAAAGTCGAAAACGTTAAAAATCGCACAGCACATAAATCTCAAAATATTTATTTAAATTGATAATACGGCCAATATTAGTTAAGATTTAAAGATCGTTCCGATCCATCCGAAAGGAGTAGCGAAGCGCGGCTGGTTCAGCTAGTAACTCTTATAGAATGTGAAATAAGAGTTCCATTGTCTTCGAATTTAACACATCCCAATATTTTTAATAACACAAAATCTGACGTGAAAATGGAATATATCGGTTAAATCCTTCTGGTACCTCCCCCATAAAAAACAAGTTAAATAGCAGTAAGTGCGGCCGGGCCGAACTTTTAATACCCTTCAACATTTGGAACGACGTGGGCCTACATAGGCATTGTTTGCCATAAGCCATTACCATATTCAAATTCGAAACTTGAAATAAGCGGTGAAAAGTGTAGCTAAAATCATCAAAATACCGTATATAGGGAGGTACTGTTATATCGGAGCTATACGATGACCTGGATCTGCATGATAATTTTCTGTCACAGACTGTAGTTCCCATTACGAACTCTAAGTACGTTATTTGAATTCTGGTGAATAAAGATTTTTCTGTCTTAGGCCATCCATTTTATCCATATTGAACTGCAAATACCAAATTTGAAACAATTCCGGTGAATAATGTCCCCAAAATCATCAAAATACCGAATATCGGGAGGTACCGTTATATGGGGGCTATATGAAAACGTGGACCTACATAGCCCATTTACGAACTTAACCTGCCTACTGGCAAAATAAATATGTGTGCAAAATTCTAGTCTTGCATCTCAATTCGTTCGAAAGATGGCGTTATTACAACAGACAGACAGTCAGACACACAGACAGGCAGACGGACATCGCTAAATCGCCATAGAATTTTACGCTGATCAAGAATATATATACTTTGTTGGGTCTGCCTTGAGTTTTTCAAGGAGTTACAAACGGAATGACAAAGTTAATTAAGAGAGTATAAAAATAATAATAATGACACATCCCAATATTACTACTACCACAAGATACGGTGTGAAGTTGGAATATATCGGACCATCCCTTCTAGTATCTCCCCTACAACGTGTCAAAATTTAGAATAAATATGACTATCATAAAATGCGAAATTAGTGATCAATTCTCTTCAAATTGCATACATCCTAATATTTTTTTAAGCCAAGTTTTGATGTGGAGGTAGTAGATATCGAACTGCTCCTTTGAAGAGGACAACATTTTGAATAACCAAAGCGTTCTTAAAATGCGAAATAAACTTTATTTTTTCTTTACATTTCACACATTCTAATATTTTTATTAACACAAGATCTCGTATGAAGATGATATAATATATCGGCTCGCTCATTTTTGTGCCTCCCTCACAACTGGTCAAAATTTTGAATAACCATGAAGCTCATAAAATGTGGCACGTCACAATACTTCTATTAACTCAACATTTGGTGTGAAGATGGGATATACCGGCCCACTACTTTTGATGCATCCCTCATAAATGGTGTCAAAATGTTGAATAAGAAAATGCTGATAAAATACGAAATAAGCTTCCGTTTCTCTTCAATTTTCACGCATCCTATTTTTAATAACGCCAGATGTGATGTGATTGATATCGGCCCACCACTTGTGTACCTCCCCCACAAAGGGTCAAAATTTTCAGTATTTATATGCCTTATAACTTGCGAAACAACTCGGCGTTTCTTTACAACTTGCTATATCTAAATATTTTTCTCAACAAAAGATCTGATGTGAATATAGAACTTATCGACACAGTCTTTCAAAACCTCGGTCAAAAGTTTGGAACAAGCCGAAATATATATTTAAATAAACGAACATCGGCAGAGGGTATACATCTATCGGCAAAACAGAACAATACTTTTTAACTTGTTTCTGTTGTGGCAATGCTTCTGGCTGATCTTTACTCCAAAATCGTCAATTTTGCTTATTATTGTAGCTATTGCGTTAAAATGAGCTTCATCGCTGAATGGAAGAAGCGCGCGATGGAAAGAATACCCATTTTGATAAAGAAAAATTAATGATTTGCAAGCTTTGTTTTTAAACGAAACGTGCGTGAGTTGTTTAAATCATTGCATTAGAGACTGATGAAGATCTGCTTGTAATTTTGAGGGAAGATTCCTAGTGTATACAGTTTTATTTGGGACTTCTATGTAAAAGTTTAATTTCTTTTGGGCATATAATTTTCTTTATTCCATATAGTGTTAATCCTTCAAATCTTTCAAAAGGCCCCCATCGTTGAGGCATTTTAGCCACAACATCCATTCCGCGTCAAAGCCTTAGTTTAACAACTTTATTTCAAATCAATTGACGCTATGTTGGTGTTGGTAATGTTAACATCACGCCTGCCATCAGCGATCGACCCAAATGTCTCTAACAAGACAAGTAAAGTTTTAAAGTTTGTCGTTTTTTTCTCTTCTTCTTCTTCTTCGTTGTCGTAGTAGTGGGTGCCATGTTACATTTCACTACAACATTGGGTGGCTAGGAAGGAGTATTGGGATATCGCAGTAGATACGTCACTTACCTTCAAACTTTTCATATGCAGCGAAGCTTAACTTCTCGGGCACAAATGATGAACGTCTCAAGCCGTTACTTTCGTATGGTCCCGCCATGCCACAGTAGCTATCGCCGTTATTGATTTTGCTGGCACTGCCAGCCGCAGCCTTTTCCGCCGTAAACGAGGCCACTTTTTTGAGGACATTGTTGCGTGGCGTGCACGGCGGCAGAGGCGATCCCATTTGGCTTGTTGCCCCAATAATGCTACTCGATAGAGACACCGTCGCTGGCATTGTTGTTGGCTCGGCATTATCGTTATTGTTCGATGGCGTTGGCGGCAGTTCATGGGAGAATGTCGTGTCGTCGGGCGGCGTGGGCGGTGCATTGACACCTGGAAACGCTGTTTGAGATAGAACAGGTGTTTGGGATGATTTAAATGAAATTATAACGGTTGATTGCGTTTCTGTGGAATGGGTTGGAGTGCCGGTTGCAGCAAGGCTACCTATTTGCGTTGTGTTCGACGAGTGGAGCGATGATAGCGAGGGTGTCGACGAGGACGAGTGTAAACTTGGCAAATGTTTGGCATCCGTTGAAGCTGAAAAAGTAAAGAAGAGTTTTGTGAATTTCTCTGTTTCTTCGTTTAATTTAGCCAAAATAAAGGAATCTGAATGGTGTGTTCCTTCCTAATTGTTGTTAGCACAATGGTAATTCAGACGACAATTGGTAAATTACCTAATCAAAAATATTTCCATTTCTTTTGAGAGCAGAATGTCAAAGTTTGACAAACATAATGGAAAGGAATTTGTAATGGCTCTTTGTTCTTGTTGTTGTTGTTATGGTAATCATTTGTTTTGAAAAGTATGAAGAATTTGAGTTTTGGAAAGAGAGTGGGAAAATTTGTTTGCATAAAATATAAATAGATATGAAATTCAAAATTGGCATGGTTTTCGTTCGAATCAAGTTTAGACCTCTTAAATGGGAAACAAAATAATACTTGGTTGAAATTCCCTAAATATAGCAATAAAAAATCAAAAATAACAAAATCCAATTGTCGCACTAATATAACTAGTTTTTTTTTAATGCGACAAACCCTGTTGAAGTAATAGGTTGGTGACCCGATTTGTAATGAATTTTTTGGCGGGTAGGGTTAACTAATGTTTTTTTGCAATTTTTTCCATATTTCCTGTATACTGAATTAATGAATGAATGATTTGATAGAATGATAAAAAGTAGGATAATCGATTCGACCTTATGAGAGAGTTCCATTAGGAAAACTGTCAGCAGAGGTACACAGGAGGGAGTTGTTCTTAACCTCTGTTATGGATTCTGCTTATCAATGAAATACTTGTGAGTTTCGACCAACTTGTCGACGTGGATCTGCATAGTTAATTTTTGCATAGGCCTTTATACTATTCAACAACTAAAAAAGTGTCGGTCGGTTTTGCCGACCAATCAGCCAATGTTTGATTATTTTGACTTCTGTTATGAATTTTGAAACTGTTGACCCTCTATTTGGAAACATTTCGTATCCTAAATATGATATAAATCATAAATTCCATATTCATCTCAGAATTCTGGATGAGAGACATATATTTAGATATAGCAAGTTGAAAAGAATCGCTAAGATGTTTCGCAATTTATGACAGATGAAAGTATTGAGAATTTTGTCCCTTTGTGGGTGAGGTACCAAAAGGGGTTCGCAGATATATAGCATCTTCACAACACATCTTGTTAGCAAAACTGTTTGTGTGTGTGAAATTTGAAGAGAGTTGGATGCTTATTTCGCTTTCTTTGAGCGTTATGTTTTTCAAAATCTTGAACCCTATGTGGAGGAGGTACCAGAAGAAAACATCCGATCTCTACCATTATTATAACAGATCTATTGTCGATGGAAATATTGAGATGTACCATGTCTCGAATGGAATCGGATGTTGATTTCGCTTTTCATGGACATTTAAAATTTTGAGCGTTTGTGGGGGAGGTACCAGATGGAGTGGACCAATATATCCCGTGTTACTGCCCGATCTTGGGTTCATAAAAATAGCAGGATGTTTGAAATTTGAATACAATCGGACTCTTAAATCTTATTTTTTTAGAGTTATAATTATTCAAAATTTTGACCCTTTGTGGGAGAGGCACTTGATGGAGTGGATCAATATTATCCATTATTGCTTCCTGCTTCTGTGCAGAAAATATTTTTTTTTGCAAATTTCGACCATTGTGGGGGAGGTACCAGAAGGAGTGGGCCGATTTTGCCCATCTTAACACCAGACCTTCGGTTAATATAAATTTTGGGATATGTGAAATTTGAAGACAATCGGACCCTTACATCATATTTTATGAGAATTGTAATTATTCAAAATGTTGACCATTTGTGGGGGATGTACTTGATGGAGTGGACCGATATTATCCATTTTCACGCCTTACCTAGCAGTGACGCAAATATTAGAATTTGCAAAGGCGGGCCAAAATCAGATTATACTTTCTCTTTCAGTGCAAAAGAAAATTTTTTGAAAATTTCGACCTTTTGTGGGGGAGGTATCAGTAGGAGTGGACCGATATAGCCCATCTCCGAACTCAATCTAAGTTTGACAAAAATATTACGATGTACCCAGTTTGGACCAAGTCGGATACTCCCTTCGATAGTTATCGTGCGCATCAGCCAGACAGACAGACGGACGGACGGACATCGCTAGATCGACTCCAAATGTTCTGAAACTGATTTGGTCCAAAGAGACCTACGGTTTAAAGCCGTTATTTCGACTAGACACGTTTTGACCGTATCAAAATTTATACACCCTCTGTAGCCACATGACTGAGGGTATAAAAATGAAATATTTCCGGTGAATAACGTCCTCGTATAGCTTTGTGGGATCTAAAATGTACATTTTGAGGTGTTACAAACATAATGTCAAACTTAATGGATGTTCTGACATGTGGGTGTCTGGTCTGGTGGTCGCTCATGTCCAAACCACAGTCCAAAGAGTCACAACTTTACTAATAAATGGAGCTCTCAAAAACACCTCTCTGTCCGCCATGAAAGTAATGATAAACATCCAGTCTTTGGATCTATTGGACCAGTTTCAAGCATCAAGGACAACACTGAGACTACAGGAATCAGGATGATAGCACTTTTCGCGTTTTGGTCATGCACTATCCTGGTCTTATCTACAAATCGGCATATTTTAGATGAAGATGATAAAACTAGTGATCACATGTCCACCTTTTTCGACTTCAACTTCATTAATTTAACTATAGTCGATAGAAACGTTGAGCTGTTGGTAAATGGTTGGTGGATGGTCCGGCCATATACACAGACAAAACTAAGATGACAGAAGGAAAATGGAAAACATTGTTATAACATAATAGGACCAGTGACTATATTTGTAGATAGTTAAGCGGCCTTCAAAGCCTTCACGTCAATTGCCATCAAATCGAGAGCCATTATTGACGGCAAGAAAGCTCTTCTTGAAATACCTGAACTCATTAAGCTTTGTAGGGCCCCAGGACATAGTAATGTAGTGGAGAATGAATTGGCTAACGAATTAAGTCGAGGTGATTCCCAGTCGATTGATTTACCGGTTGAAGATATCTGAACTCTAGATAGGATAACGATGGTCCCGACTGCTGTAGACTTAGTGAGGACAAAGAAGAGGTAGAGATGATTGAACAACCGTTATGCAGACATCTTACGCTGTAAAGTAGCCTTTGCTGCTTCGGTAGTTGGGAAGATAGAAACTCTAATGTTCTTCTCAGATGTAGATCCCATTATCATCCACAGGTTTGCTAATAGCATATCATGACTAAGCAAGCCTTCGTATAACTTGATATCTGTATATCTTTTTTCTTTCCTAACTTATGTCTTTCCTATCATAACTAATACAGGGTGAGATGAAAAAGCTCAATATATTGTTTACAAGCGTACAAAAGCATTTTGGTGAAAATTTTCCAGAAAAAGAGTTATTCGTGATAGAATCCAAGTGTGATAGTGTAATTTCTTTATATTTGGCTGTAAAAACATAAGTGGCTATCGCTAGAGCACTCCAGCATTTAAATGTGAATAAATCTTTTGTGTCTCGCACCATCGCTCGTTACCGTGATACTGGTAGCGTAGCCCGACGTCAAGGAAGTGGACCGAAGAAAACAACTACATCAGCAGAAATGGTTCGAAAAGTAAAGAAGCGACTTGATCGAAATCCGCGTCGCAGTGGCCGAAAAATGACTCGTGAGCTGAACATATCGCAATATTCCATTCGGCAAATATTCAAAAATGAGCTCAGAGTAAAGCCATTGAAATTCCAAAAAGTGCAATAACTTACACCGCAACTGAAAGAAAATAGACTCAAAAGATGAAATGGTGAACTGTCGAATTTGGTTTTCTCCGATTCATTGTCCAGTGGTTTGTAAACAAACAAAATGATCGTTTTTACTTGCCAAAGAGGTCAGCAAAAAATGTGGTTGGTCACCAGAACTCATGCGCCGGCCATGTTGATGGTGTGGGCCGCCATAACAGCCGATGGTCGCTCTCCGCTTGTATTAATCGACCGTGGCATCAGAATAAATGCCGAATATTATCTCGAAAATATTCTGGAGGGTGTATTAAAGCATTGGGCACGCAAACATTTTGGCCGCAGACCTTGGACATTCCAACAGGACTCAGCACCATCGCACTCAGCACGCGCCACCCAAGAATGGTTACAAAAGGAGGTTCCTCGCTCCATTTCCAGCGCCCAATGGCCTCCAAAATCTCCGAATACCAATCCGTTGGACTATTGTGTCTGGAGTATTTTCGAAAACAAGATTGTGCACTAAAAAACACCAAAGTGTTGATCATCTCAAGCAAGCGCTTCGCGAGCAGCGTGTGACGGTTTGAAGACCATAATTCGTGCCAAAGGTGACAAATTCTAACAAATCTAAACTTATTCTAAAATTTGATGCTATTTCCGACTTTTTTCTTTCATTCAATAAAATTAAAAAATATGGTGTTTGACTTTGTTACAAATTTTTTATCTCACCCTGTCTATTGATGTCTTTCCTATCATTACTAGTTCTTCTTAGGACGAACACAATAGACTAATGGTACACGAGTGGCTGGTCATCCTGAAACCTAACCTAAACTTCAGTTCTAAGAAAATCCCGTCTTGTTTGACCCGTTCGTTATGTCTTTTTTTTTGTGGCGCATTTTTATTTATGTCGCCGTGGCGCCCAAATATATTTACTTTGGAAAAATATTACTAATATTACAATTGACACATGGATCGCTTTCGTAGGCATACATTCATATATGGCATACATAGTTTTCTCAGTTTTCTGCCTTAACTCTACTCTACTTTTAATTAAATATTATTATTTTTTTGTGTTACAAAAGTACGTGAATTTAAGCTTTAGGACAAAAATAGCTTTAATATGTGCATATATTATTTTTAATTTTATTATTAAAAGAATTTTGTTTTTTTTTTTTTTGTTGTCGACCAATCCATACACCCCTTAAGTACTTGAATTTCCATGTTTTCCTTCTTGCCCTTGTCAACATAAACATTCTATTGTTGGAAAAGACAAAACAAAGGATGATGAAACGATGCGTTATAAGTCAAA